AAAACAAGATCAACAATGAAAATATATAGAAATTTATTTTTTACCAAATGAAAAATGTTTTTAAACAAAAAAGAAAAAATAGTCATATATATATAAACGACAATATTAAAAAAACCTTCATATTATAGTACGATGGGATTGTAACAGAATGTTCTATGATTTCTATTACAATAATTGTCAACTTTATAGTTTCGAATGATATTAAACATCATTTTCTTTGAATTTTATTCTGTACAAGTTTCTGTTTGTTGAGAATCCAATGACTTCATCTTCCCTATCGAAAATAAAAATCAAACTATACTCATAAAATTAAAAAATATTCCTAAGGGAGATCCATCCTTATTATTAACCGAGCAAATACCAAGAATATAACTTAAAGGTTTTTTTGAGTAAATTTCCAGGAAGCTTTATTGAAATTTCTGCATCTTAACTACTGAATAAAATCGTCTTCATATATAACGCTTCGACAATATGACTTTTTATGCCATTAAAATAGCGTTACTTTTGACGATTTTTCATGTACTGCAAATAAATCATCAATTAATTGCGATATTTCAAGAACAAGAATACAATAAGCATTAGTTGCTAAAAAAATTCATGTTCTTTTTTATTTGGATTGATAGCAGTGACATATTCATCATTACGGTGGGTGGCTCATACGAACACAACAATAAATGATGTTGAATACAAAAGTTTCCTACAGTGGTTATTCTAATTGTAAAGAACATGGTCAAAAAATCAACAATTTTTCCGCACTCTGAAAATATGGTGTGGGTGTGGGTGGAGTGGGTGTGAGGTGTGGGTGTGTAATGTTTACTCTTACCCACACCCACACCCATCCACACCCACCCACACCCACACCCACACCCCCCCACACCCACACACCCACACCCCACATCCACACCCACACCCTCAAATACATTAAGAAATCATGTACTCAGTTTTTCAACATGCCTTTTTTCGTATTTTTCCACTCGTTACCAAAATAGACAGAAACTTCAAGCTACAATGACGATGGAACTATTCATAACAGTTTTTCATCAACACAGAGAAGTGACCTAGGAGCATGTATCGTTTGTTGATACCAATCACAGACATTGGTATACATCAGTATGTTAATATTTTGTTTGGTATTTCCTGTTGAATAATTCAATACCATCACGAACTACTAGGGATATACATACGTCCGAGAAAAATTGACCCTCAACCAATATTAAACTTAGACAGAATTTATTTTCAATATTCTGTATAGTTTTTTCATATAGATTTTATTTAAAGATGCAATGCTGCTACCAGTGGCAACTATTTAAAACAGAACAAATTTTGAAAAGACATGTTTTACTGGATTTCAGATTCACCTTTTTATTCAAACTTTGGAAAAGTAAATTTACGGACTTCGCTGTCAAACAAAATAGAACATATTTATTATATTCTGACTAGACAGAATAGTCATGTTTTCTAATGCTTATTGTAATTTTTGCACCGATAGCTTTTTCTGTATCGATAGCGATAAATGAGTTTCGAAAACAATTCTATGAACAAAACGAATTAAATATTTTACGTACATCTTTGGAATACTGAATTCCGAGAAAAGGCAGTTATTATTCTATCATCGAGAACACATAAGCTATAAAATTTTATCATTTTTTTTGTTACAACATAATTAAAAACTTAGTAGCATAATATATTTGTACTTTATATAAGATCTATAAATTCAACTGAAGTCGAAGACAAATAATCATCAATAAAAAATGCTACTCTAAGGCATTAGCTTAAAGATCTTTATTTATTTTTTACTCGAAGCTTGCCAAGATACACTAGATTTGAACTGAAAGTATCTGCGAATCATCCAGAAGCCTGAATTAAAGTAGATTTCAATTAATGTTGAACATAATAATAATAATAATAGTCGTAGTTGATCTGAGAATTCAGTTGAGTTTAGAATGTTAGGTCCACATAATAAGGACGCATCAAAAACAATTTATTAACAAAAATTCTAATGTTTTTGTTTTCTGTTAATGGTAACATAAAAAACAGACAATTATTGTAATGTATATATTTCAGTCGCTATTATATAGAAAAAGATGTTGACTGTTCTTTTCCTCAGAGTTTTTATCGAGCTTTTTCTCTATTTTCTTGATCGTTGAGGTTTTTTGATAAGATATATCATCTTTATTGTTTCCCTTTAGATAATATTAACGTATATTTAGTGAAACCAATAGTAATAAAAAGTGAATTAGTGTATTAAATGAAAATATCCGATCGAAAGTACAATTTATCATTGTTTTTCAAAATCACCTTTGTCAACTGCCTGCTCATATAAAATAAATGCTTTAGGAAAAAAGAACATTTTTTCGAACACTTTTACTACTCATTCAATGTCCTCATGTCTCGGCAATAAAATAAATACATCCAAAAATTTAGTCCATACAAAGAAAACGATTTATTTCCTTTTGTTACTGATCGAAATTTCATCAAACATTCAATGTCTGTGTCCTAGAAATGAAACAAAATATTGTCGAAATATATAATGCATTCAACAAAAAGAAAAAGATACAGCGAAATTATTATTGCTTACATATAGCATAGCAATCTGACCTTAATTCTTATCGTTTTTGTTGTTTGCAGTTATCTTTGAAAACTTTCGTTTGATTTTGACTAAAGCTCAACATTCACTAAAAATACTTATTTGTTTCTTGGTTTTCTTCTTAGTGACCTTGAATTCATAAATATCTCGGCTCAACACGACTTGTCATGCATGTTATTCATCACAATAGCAACAACAACAGTACAATAATTATAACCAAATCATAACGTGACATAAGAGTCCGAGTGAACTTGAGTAATTCCTGCCATGTGCGAAAAATTCGTTATATTTATATAGAGCTCGTTTTTACACATTTCACATATCTTTCCGCAACAAAAAAAAAGAGAAGTTTCGCAATTAAATTGAATATTTCCCAATATTAACATCCGTTCAAATTGTGTTACATGTATTTACCTTCATGGATGACTCATATCCGTCAAAACACCTCTGCATCAACACACAAAAATAATAGTATTATCAAAATATAAAAAGTTACTTCCTTCTGGAATGTGATATCCACACTCATATACATGTATATCCAGTGCTTCAAATCCTTTTCCTTTTCTTATTGATAGTCTCATATAAAAAAAATAGAATCCTCAATGTATTTTTCTTAGTTGCTGATTAATCTTTTGTTGAAAAAGTAAATAGTTCAATAAAGAAATACTGTTATGAGATGAAGTTTTTTGAAAATGTTTCTCGACATTCACGTCTGGAACAAATATATAAATCAGATAGAATTATTACTGAAATTCTATTCGTGTTACAATATTCGAATAAGAACAGTACACCATGTTTGTTACATAAATGGTGCATCTTAATAATATTCTTGTTCCATTATATGTGTGTTTTCATAACATTGGATTAAATGCTCTAAATATAACGATTCCATAGCTAGACAAAATATGTGTGAATTATTAGAAAAATTTTCCTTTTATCATGAGAAGTAGAGTATTACAACAACAGCGTTTTTTTTTCAAATCGAATCGTGCAAGTCTATGTTTAAAGAATATTTCAACTCTTTATAGAGCTTTATGTACAAATGCAAAACATAGTCTATCAGTTTTCGTGCCAAAATCTCTTTGATATTAAGTCTAGCAGTAAGCGCTGTAATGGTTTATATAAAACTTTTATGAACGCGTTACTCAATTTGTAAAACAAAAAACTTAGAGTTCCTTATCATTCATCATCAGTTTGAAAACATTTCAACAAATTTCACCGACAACCCATTCATATATGTGCTGCTAAGTAATTTCTGCTTTTGTACATGCGTACAACCAGACATGTCGTCCTCCTGCTTTTTTCTTGCTTCTTCCTAGAAGAATGTTGCTCTGGTAAGTCGATGTTGCCATCAACCTGCTCGTTTTCGTCATCGCAACATGCTTTTCATCAGACTTCATCATTTACCGCTAGTTCGGTTGTAATAAGTAACTTTCCTGGTCTATGGGTAGCTCACGACATCTGCTTTGTCCTTACGCTTGCCATCTAAGAAAGAGAACGCAGAATGTAAGGACAGAAGATATGTCGTGCTCTACATATCGACAAAAAAAGTGGCTTATTACAACTTTACAAGAGGTAAATGATCAATTCCGATCAATTCCGATCAATTACATGCTGCGATGACGAAAACGAGTGGGCTGATAGCAATATCGACCTGCCAGAGCAACATTACGCATAAAAGAAAAACTTTCATGTTATGTCAAGTTTCCTAGAATATGGTACGTTAAAAGATGGGCACCATGTTGAAAGCGCCCTTTGCTTTTTCTTTTTTTTTTGTATATTCCTTCATATTTTAATATACTACATAAAGAAAGAAGTCCCAAAAGGCGCTGCATCTATTTGCATATTTATTGTAAACAATAAATGTAGCTCAAGAGGTAAAAAAATGTTCTGGAAAAAAGAGGAATGCATATTTTTAGAATAACTTTTAATAGATACAAGTTATAGGTCTACAGTATTCACTGTTGGAAAGAGGAGTTGAATCTACATCGCAGTTTATATTTCAGGTTTTGCTGACAAACGTTAGCGGGGTCTTCTGTCCACTATTTAAATACTCTACTGTTTCTCACATGTTTGACAAAAAATACTATACTGAAGAACCTGGGAAATTTTGTCAGAAAAGCCTGATATATAAAACTTGATGCAGGTTCATCTCCTTTTTCGAGTAAGGGTATAGGCGTGGGTGTGGATATGAGTGTGAATATAGATTTGGATAAGACCCTGACCCACAACCACTCGCACCCACAGCCACACGTACAGCCACATCCACATCCTTCTCTGAAAAACAACAAAAAAAATTAAAGAATGCATGTGTTTTATTACATACAGAGTATTCTGACACACTAATAAACGGTCATTGAAATAATCTTTCAATTGGACACTTGTTCCAATCCATGGAACACTTTTTTGAGAATCAAGAGTACCTATTAAAATAGTCCATTTTACGTATATGATATTGAATAGGCGAACCAAATACCATTGGCTCTGGTTCTGAACATAACTTTCGACGTTCCGCTTCACTATAACGTAATGCTGGTGAAGGACAAACTATTTCACGTTCATCCAAACAAATTTTAGCATCTGGTATTTGATTGTGTTTTAACGAAGATAATTTCAAATATATGGAAAGTAATTAGAAATACAAAGAACTTGGTATTCAATACATTACATAAATTAGTTGATCTGTTCAATCGTTCTTGAATATTGCCTGTTATATATCGATTCTATTTATTCGTTAATCTAGGTATATTTTTAATGTTTATATAATTTACCTCACAAGAACAACAACAATGTGAGTTATATCCAGAATACTTTTTTGACATGTAATATTAAATGAACACCTGATTGATAAAAAGTTTTAAAAATGCGCAATTCTCTAAGATTACGTATTTTCGTAAGTTATAAAACGATTTCAAAAGTCGTTTCTTTGATAGAAAATGAACATTTCTTTTTAAGCTCATTTAAATCGTTGTAACCTAAATAAGATGAGTTGATTTCGTAAAACAATAAAGTTCAGAATAATTATGATTTCTATGATTTTTTTGCTGGATTCAAACATAGTTCATGTTCTGTTAAATTTCAATCGATTTTTCAATAAAACTTGTTCCGTATGCAAAAACTAATGATTGATAATCGGGTATCATATCTTCCGCTTTCAAGCTGAGATGAGTAAAAAGCATTGATTCAATAGGACTATAAATTATAATAACCTAAGTGCAGTGTATGATATACTTTTGCTTGTTCTGTTAGAAGGTACGCAGGATAGTATCGAGTTGAACGTGATCACAGAAATCTCTTAACTACATAAAAGCAACTGATGAAAAGGCATGAACTCTTCTAACTATTATATTTCCTATGCTTCTTATAGATCTAGTACATATTATACTACTCTTATACGGTGTGTAGGTGTGAGTATGGGGGTAGATCTTCTATTATCCCCATGCCAGTTCTGTTCGTCGAATCAGTCATTCGTGCGTGCTTGTACTGTGACGTGTTGTTATTCGGATGACGCGAGTCTCTTCTCTATTTAGATTGCATTTCCTACGGTCTATCTAATCAACAACTGTGAAACAGATTCGTTCTGGAACTGCTCAATTTTGCAATCTTGCATTGTCTTTGACTATTCGAATTTAACTAATATTCTGGTCAACCTGAGCCTTTTTGCCAGCATTTCATGTATAATATTAAATTACCTTGCTCTTTATATATTGAAGGTTTTCATCCTAAACCTACGCGAATGAAGAAAAGTGCTCTGCAGGTAATGAGATAAACGTATTTAAGTCTTAAGCACATTTCATGCTCCTCACAATGATTTGCATTGCTACCATCTTCAAACATCACCTTTTATTTGTTAGACGTTCGAATGCATATACCGTATTATTGAATATCAATAGAAAAAGAAATTTAATACAGTACAAAAAAGGATGTATCAAATGTCGACGACAAAAAAATTCTTAACTTTCGAAGCAATCAAATAGTGACAATACAATACCCATTACTGTGTCAAAAAACTTCATCGATACATCACTGCTAATCATTGCATCTGTATTCGAAAGAAAAATCGTACCAATAGTACCCTGCTCATTGATCACCATTAAGTTCGTGGCACCTGGCATTACACCGTTGTGACCAATGAAACGACGGCCATCAGACATTGTTTGCCAGTTCCAAATGAGACCATATTTTGGTGGTGGGAGTGGCGATTGATTATTGGGTGAGTGAAGATTTTGGTAAGGAACAACACCGTCAACCGGTGTTCGTATTTCAACAATGGAATGAGGATGCAATATAGAAGACCCATTGCTCATAAACATGCGTAGAAATAAAGATAAAGAAACAGCTGACATTCGCATAAGACCAGAAGCATAGTCTGGTATGCTAAAGAATGGAATGTGAAGCCAATTAGCAATATTACTCTACAACAAGGCTCAAATTTAATATTACTATATAGTTATTGTCCTTTACGCCTTACTTGCGTAACATCTAATTGTGGTAATTGTCGCCTCCATTCTTTCAAGTAGGATGCATTGAATGCATAATGTTCAACCAACGTTTCTTTATTATGAATATCTGAAAGCCGAAAACTTGCTTCACCAACTTTGATACCAAGCGGATTTAAAATTTTTTCTCTGACATAACGTTCGTATGGCGTTTTCGTTATGCGTTCGACAATCAATGCAGCAAGAGATGCGCCAATATTTGAATAGAGTGTTACACTGCCTGGCACTTGTGGTAGCCAATTTGATGCATTGGGATTTAAATATGTAAAACATCTGTCAGCTAAGGATGTCTCTCGTAATGCGGCATCGTCAGGTTCTATTGAAGCGAATGGCATTTCACCATTTGTATCAATGGATGCTGAATGTGAAAGTAATTGACGTAAAGTAATTGCATGAGAAGGATAGAGTGGATGGAATATTCGTGGATCAGTAGATAATAGATAATCATTTATATCAGTATCGAGATCGATTAGATTCGCTTCGACAAGTTGCATGACACCAACGGCAATGAATGTTTTAGATATCGAGGCCAGAACAAAGATCGACTTGTTCAAATCGACAGATCGCGGTGGAGAAAGAGTGTGATAACCGAAAGCTTGTTGGTATAGTATATCAGTTGCATTGACTACAATGATTGCAGTTCCTGGAATGTGAGCATCGGTTAGAGACTGTTCAATGGACGATCGAGTGCGACAATTTTTGGTTGTAGCAGTAGCAGTTAGAAGAGCAAACGACAGTAAAGTTAGTAACGACATGATTGTTTGACTGCATTTTGGAGGATACTAGCTTTTTATTCAAAAAGAAAATATCACGTTTTGTTTGAATTCGAATTAAGTGTCAGTCTTGACTGTGTGCAAAGTTTCTGACTTTTTTCTTTCTTCTAGATACGGACCGAATGATTCATTGTCACACAGAGAGTGAGCTACAGCTGCTTATGCAGTGACTTTTTCAAAATTTCAAGTTCTGCTTGAGAATATTGGGATTGAGAAGTAAAGGTGAACTAAATGTGCGCGTTGGAGGATGTTTGTCTCTTTGGTTATTGGATACTATCGTAGATGTCAATGTGAGTATGAGTATGACTGCTCGTGTTTTTTTTCTACCATGATTCACGGCACATACCGTATTATACATTATCTATTGGTAATATTTTTTATCTTTTGTCTGATTTTTGTTCCATTTATCTAAGTAGTTCCAGTGGTTATAGACCGCAACCACTTTTAGTATGTTTTTCCGATGGAATGGTAAGGTTCTCGAAAATTCTTATGAGATTAATGGGATGTAATAAGCCTGTCGCTTCTCATGAGGCACACTGATTTGTACCTGCTTGTAAAGCATACAGATAACGAGTACAAATAAAGAAAAGAAACGAATTAGACCATAAATCGAATCTATGTACTTTTGTTCTCGCATCATTGTGAAAACAATATAGATCGATCAATCTCCCCAAGAACAATATTTTAGTGCATTTTTGGTTTGCCTTATTACTATTTTTGAGTCATTTGAATTCTCTTAGTACTAAAAATTTTCATGACACAGTCTGTTTATACCAAGCATCCATACGTGGATGGATACAGCTTATCACAATGGAAATCTTGTCGAACTTAAGCAGATCTACTTCATCATCGAAACATATCGGTTTTGCTTACATTAGATAAGAATATAAGCTAAGTAGCTTGACAGCTTTTTTCAAATTATCAATCATTTATCAATCATATACGCGACATCTTAACTTAGTATTTCGACCAAACTTTACGAAAAGCAAAAAAAAAACCTCATAATGATTTTTTTATTACAAATATAGATATGTTAGATCTTTGCAATGATATTAGGTAAATGATATTACTATCTAATTTATAACATTTTTTTGTT